AAAAGTACTTTATTGAGTTTTGTGTTAATCATCCTTTTGCTTTTACCAAATATTCATGTATATACCCCTAAAAATATTGTGTCTGTGTTTCTCAATTTTATATAAATGGAATATTATTCACCCATGACTTCTTTCACTTAACAGTTTTGTCCATGTAATTCATTCATTTTCACTGCTCCTTAGTATACAATTACATGAATTTACAACTAGGTACCCAGTCTCTTATTTTGGATATTTTTATTGTTTTCAGTTTTTTGCTATTACAAGAATGCTGCTGTAAATGTTTTTATACATGTACAAGTGTTTCTCCAGGTATATAGCTAGAAGTGAAGTCATTGGTGATGTGCATGTTCAACTTTACTAGGCAATTTTTTTTCAAAATTACAAAAGAAAATTTATTTCAAAAGCATAAGGGAACATTTACTTCTGAACAAGGTGATAAACAGATGTCTTGCAAAAAAAAAAAAATCATGGGATCAAGTTTTTCATTCAAACTTTTGAAGCAAAAATAACCTACGTTGTACACTATTGCCTTAGGAAAGGGAAGAATAATGAGGTGGTAGAGGAAGAAACACAGTAAACTCAGTATCAAACTTGAGAAAGTAGTCAGTTCTACTCAGCTTTGAGTTTACAGATATTCTTTAAAAAAAAAAAAGAGGAAAAGTTACATTTAGTGTTTAAATTTATACAACTGTAGTTGTATAAATATAGTAAATATGTAGTTGTATAAATATATAGTAAATATGTAGTTGTATAAATATGTAGTCCCAATATAGTTTCTGTACTTGAAATGGCTTTAGGCCAGTGGCTGACCTGCCTCTGAGGTCCAGACTACCTGGTCATATTTTCAAATGGCAATTCTGTGTTCCTGTATCTGTTCAGATTCCAAGGGAGCTTAGGCTCAGCTCATAGTCTTTCAGGATGTTTAGATTGTTGTCACCACTCCATAGTCAAGCTGACCAATTTCTTTTGCTCACTTGTATAATTCTAGTCTTTAAAAGACATTTTCCTGCCTGGCCAGAGTGGCTCAGTTGGTTGAGTGTTGTCCTATGCACCAAAAGGTTGCTGGTTCAATTCAGGTCACATACCTGGGTTGCAGGTTTGATCCCGTCAGGGCACGTACGGAGGGCAGCCAATCAATGTTTCCTTCTCTCTCCCACTTCCTCTCTCTAAGTATGTCCTCAGGTGAGGATTAAAAACTGTTTCCCATAAACATGCACATAAACATGTGCAGTAATTCTAACAAAGGGGTTTTACTTTTTCCCCAGTGTAAAGGTAACAGTAATGAAGAAACCTGCATTGTAATAACAAACTATGCCTCAAAAAATATGTCAAACTACTAGAAAATGTCATTCAGGCATTGCATTTAAACAGCAAACTTGGAGAGGAGAGCTTAACTGTGGAATAAAAATATATGAAACATTCAAGTGCAGAGCAAAGAACCTATGCTACTAAAAATGCCAATGACATTAAACACTCCACAAAGCCCCCATCTGTTGTTTTAACTTAAAGATTCTATTGGCTAACTTATACAATAATTTTTATTAATAACCCAAGAAGTTAAAATCTTAAAAGTGGCAAAAGCAAACTGAGAGAGCATCCCTTATTATTGGTACACTATGTTATCAAGTCACTTTCCTGGGTTGCCCTGGTTATTAAATCCCCAAATTTTAAATTATTCTATGTCATTCTGTAGAAAACTATATGTACATCAAATTCAATATTTCAGCTGCATTTCTCCAACAGGGATTTACAAATTTATCATTGAAAATTTATCTTTGAAAAATAAACAGATTTACCTTTGTTTATTTTTAGTTTTTTATTTTATTGTATTATTTTATTTTTTAATTTTTGTTAATCTTCACCCAAGGATATTTTTTCTATTGCTTTTCAGAGAGAGTGGGAGAGAGGGAGAGAGAGAGAAACATCTATGTGAGAGAGAAACACATAGATTGGTTGTCTCCCACACTCATCCAGACTAGGGTGGGAAGAACCTGCAACCCAGGGACATGCCCTTGACTGGGAATCGAACCCGCAACCCTTCGGTATGTGGGTCAATGCTCTAACCACTGAGCCACACTGGCTAAGGCATGGTCAATGAATTTTCTACAGGAGTGCCAAGATCATTCAATGGGGAAATACCAGTCTCGAGAAAGTGGATATCCACATGTAACAGAAAGAAGTTGGACCCCTATCTCACACCACATTAGAAATCAACTCAAAATGAATCAAAGACACAATGTAAGAGATAAAACTCTTAAAATATAGGGGTAAATCTTCATGACCTTGGATTTGCCAATGGATTTTCAGATATAACACCAAAAGCACAATCAACAAAAGAAAAAGTTGGACTACATCAAAATTAAAACTTGTCACAGGCAACAAAAACAAAAATAGTAAAAAACTTCTGCACAGCAAAGGAAGCAATTAACAGAGTGAAAAGGAAATGGAAGAAAATATCTTCAAGCCATATTTCTAATAAGGGGTTAATATTTAAAAATATAAGGAACTCCTTCAACTCTATAGCAAAAAAAAAAACCAAATAAGCCATTCTGAAAATTGGCAAAGGGCTTGAGTACATCTTTCTCCAAAGAGGACATACAAATGACTAGGTTCAGAGAACTTCCAGATTGGTGAACAAGAAGGCATCCACATGCCCAGGGGGTGGCATACCCTGAGCTCTATGGGGTCAGAAGCACCTGAGCTCAAGACCCTTCCAAACCTTATCTCTTCATCTGGCCATTCATTCGTATCCTTTAATATCCTTTGTAATACCTCAGTAATTTAGCAAGTAAACTATTTTCCTGAGTTCTGTGAGCCATTGTAGTAAATGATTGAATCAGAGAGGGTTGTGGGAACCTCTGTTTTACCATATGTCAGAAGCACAGGTAACAACCTGAACTTGAGACTGGCAATGTAGGACTGAGCCCTTAAATTGTAAAATCTGAACCTCTCTCCAGGTAGACAGTATCAGAATTGAGTTAAAACTGTAGGACACCTAGCTTAGTGTGGGGAAAACGACACACATTTGAAATATAGAGTATTCTGTAAGTAGTGAGTAAAGGAAAATGAGATTTTCTTTTCAGGTATCTTAACACAGTCACACACATAGAAGCGGAGAGTAGAATGGTGGTATCAGCTGTTGGGAGCAGGGGGAAATAGGGAATTGCTATTCAACAGTATCAACTTTCAGAAGTCCTAGAGGTTTGCTGTACAACATTGTATTTATAGTTAACAATACTGTACTGCATTACTTAACATAAAAATGTGTTAAGGGGTATAGCTCATGTTAAGTGTTCTTATGACACAAAAAAAGAAAATTAAAATTTTTGTGAATGAAAGGACATTATCAATAAAATGTACAGACAACCTACAAAATGGGAGAAAATATTTGCAAATCATATATCTGATAATGGTCTCATATCCAAAATATATAAAGAACTCTTGTAACTCAACAATAAAAAGGCGAACAACCCAATCCAAAAATGGGCAAAAGACCTGAACAGACATTTCTCCAAAGAAGATATATAAATGGCCAAAAAGATGCTAAACATTACTAATCAATAGGGAAATGCAAAGATGCTAAACATTACTAATCAATAGGGAAATGCAAATCAAGACCACAAGAGTGCCCTAGCTGGTTTGCTCAGTGGTTAGAGCATCGCCCTGCAGACTGAAGAGTCCTGGATTCTATTCCTGCTAAAGACATGTACCTCGGTTCAGGCTTGATCCCCAGCCCCTGGTTGGGGTGCATGCAGGAGGCAACCAACTGATGTATCTCTCTCACATCAATGTCTCTCTCTATCCTCCTCCCACTCTCACTGAGAAGCAATGGAAAAAGTATCCTGGGGTGAGGATTTTAAAAAAAGACCACAAGATTAACACTTCACTCCCACTAGGCTGACTATAATCAGAATAACAGAAAATGAGTATTGGTGAGGATGTGGAGAAATTGGAAACCTGGTGTGTTGCTGGTGGGAATGTAAAATGGCTCAGCCACTGTGGAAAAGTTTCATGACTCCTCAGACAGTTACACATAGATTTACCATATACTCAGCAATTCTACTCCTTGGTACATACTGAAGAATTGAAAATACAAATTTGAACAAAAATTTATACACAGCCTGGCCAGTGTTGCTCAGTGGCTGAGCGTCAATCCATGCACCAGGTTACCGGTTCAATTCCTGATCAGGGCACATGCCCGGATTGCAGGCTGGATCCCCCCCAGTGGGGGATGTGCCAGGAGGCAGCTGATTCATGTTTCTTTCTCTCTCCCTTCTTCTCTCTGAAAGCAATAAAAACATATAAAAAAAATTTGTACACAAATGTTCATAGCAGCACTATTCACAAAAGCCAAAAGGTGGAAATAACCCAAATGTCTATCAACTGATGAATGGATATAAAAATGTAGTATACCCATACAATAGAATATTATTCAGCTGTAAAAAGGACTGAGGTACTGATGCATGCTATAAATTGGATAAACCTTGAAAACATTATGCTAAGCAAAAGAAGACAGACACAACAGGTCTCTTATGATTCCATTTATATGAAATGTCCAGAATAGGCAAATCCATAGAGACAAAAATTAGATTAATGGTTACCAGTGGCTGGGAGGAAGGGGAAATGGGGAATGACTACTTATTGAGTATGAATTTCCTTTTAGGTGATGAAAATGTTTTGGAACTAGAAAAGAGGTAATGTTTGCACAACACTGTGAATGTGCTAAATGCCAGTAAATAGTATATGTTAATACAGTTAATTGTATGTTATGTGAATTTACGTCAATTAAAAAAAAAAGTACCCTAGCTGGGTAGTTCAGTTGGTTAGAGTGTTGTCCTGATACGCAAGATTGTGGGTTTGATCCCTAATTAGGACACATAAAAGAATCAACCAATGAATGCATAAATAAGTGGTACAACAAATCAATGGTTCTCTCTCTCCTCCTTTCTAAATAAATTAATTAAATAAAAAGCAGTAGAAAAAAGAGACACAGAAAGTATAAGAAAAAAGTATATATTTACAACCCCAAAAGTCCCCAAACTCTAGCTGAAGGAGGTAGCAAATATAAGCAGTTCCTTTAAGGGCCCAACTTCACTCCTTATAGAACACTGAGTACCAGCCCATGAGGTCAGTTCCTACTCCATGGTCTCTTCCAACCCAAGAAGTAATCCCTCCATGGGCCACAGCTCTCAGTCCTCTTGCCAGTCATCCTGTGCCCAGGTAGGCATGGGTGAAAAGTACTCAAAACCTGGCCCTTTATAGCGCAGGGCATGTAGAAACATCACAAGGTCCTGGGGCAAGGGGTCCTGTCGCACCAGTCGGCATTCTGCACAGAGGGGGTCTACCTCTTGATTCACAACATCAGTTTCGGCTGCATTCCCTGGTGCCAGAGCCATTGTGTCCAGATCCTGAGGGGCTGCCTCAAGTATTCCATCCATCGTTTGGGCAGATGCAGCCAAGTCTTCTAGGTGGTCCTTGCCCAGCTCTGAAGAGGGAGCTGTAGAGTCTGTGAGTCCTGGGGTCAGGTCAACTTCACAGAGATCTAGCACATCCAGGCTCTGTTTGGCCTGGTGCTCTGCCACAAGGTCCCGCAGTAATTCCTCATCTGTTTTGGGAATGTGGCCACCCCGGCCCCGGGAGGGGCCCCAAGCCACTGAGTTGTAGATGGGGTCATTGAGGATGGGGTGGCCCAGGAACTGGAGGTGGACTCGGATCTGGTGGGTGCGACCTGTGAGTGGCCGACACTGCACCACACTAGAGTGGCCGTTGTAGCTCAGTCTCCGGAACACTGTCTCACAGGGCTTGCCCCGAGTGTCTACACGGCACACCCCAACCTTGTAAGACACTACCAAGATGGGTTCCTTGCAGGTCACTTCCTCGGTGGGGAACTCCCCCTCCACCCGGCACACGTACTCCTTTTCCAGCTACACAGGAAGGAAAATGGAAAAAATCAGCACGAAGGCTAAATTCGTGAAGTCCAGGCCCTGTGCAAGTGGTGAGAAATGCACAGTGCCAGGTAGAAGAGGATGCTAACCCTGGCTCCACCACTTGCCAGGTTCATGATTCTGAGTACATTACTTAACCTCTTTAAATCCCATTAACTTGTCTAGAAAAAGTGAGGTTAGAAAAGCATTTACCTCAAAGGGCTGTTATAAGGATTCAGTAAATTAGGCTCTAATGTACTTGGTACTTAGCCTGGTATACAGTAAGTACTCAAATGTGTCACAATCAGATCCAGAATTACAAGTCTCAAGACTACCATCAGTACCATTTAACTCTTCTACCCAAGCCCCTTCCAATTTCATCCACAATCTTTCCACCAAGTAGGCTCTCCTCACAATCCTAAAAACCTCACTCAGGCCTGGTGGGCGTAGCTTAGTAGTTGAGCTTCGACCCATGAATAAGGAGGTCATGGTTTGATTCCCAGTCAGGGCATATCCCCAGTGGGGGGCGTGCAGGAGACAGCCGATCAATGACTGTCTCTCATCATTGATGTTTCTCTCTCTCCCTCTCCCTTCCTCTCTCTGAAATCGATAAAAACATATTAAAAACAAAACAAAACAAAACAAAACCTCGCTCAACCTGTAGGCACTTTAAAACTTCAAAAGAGTAAGCTACCAAGATAGGCCGTTTATGCCACCTCTAAAAATCTCTTGAAACTTAAGAGATAATAACCTGTCTTTGGCCTTTTAGTGCTGACTTCCCTGAACTTAGAAACCTTGGCCAGATAAATACAAAGACCCACTTCAGATAGAAATCAGTGATTGCCTTTTGACACACAGCATTTGTGAGTCCAGAAAGTGACCGGCATGAAACAAAACCCAGGCTCACCTGCCGGTCCCGAACCTGCTCATGTATTCTCTCCGAAACAGCTGCTGTCTTGGCAAACATGAGGACTCCCGAGGTAAGGCGGTCAAGCCGATGCAGTGGGTGTAACTCCTTAAGCTGGTGCTCCTTGCCTAGGATGAAGATGACCGTGTTGTGTCGGAAGCGGCCACAGGGGTGGACAGGAATGGAAGAAGGCTTGTCTACAACCACCATGTCTTCATTCTCAGCCAGCAGGCGGACAGGCTCTGCTGTGACTGGTGGCTCATGCCTGTGCACTGTGTTCCGCAAGAAGTCATTGTCCTGCCAATGACATAGGCAATCTGTCAGACAGGACCAGCAAACTGTAATCAGTCAACTTCACACACTTCTTGTTATTTATTGACATGGAAGAATGGTCACAGTATATCCTTACAAAGAAAAAGCAGTATGCATAGTGCATATTCTCTGTGCAAAAATGCAAACAGATACACAGGCAGATAGCAGGTACTGAAAAAGAACTAGAAGGATATACACCAAAATGTTAAGGGTACTATCTCTGGGTGGTGGGGTTATGGTTTTTTATTTTGCTTGCTTGTATTTTCTCTACAGTGTTATACTTAAAAGGTAAATTTTCCTAAAATGGAGGGGGGAAACCCTCCACAAGTCATCACTTTTTGTAATCTTAAAGAAATAACACCAAGCTTTAAGTCCAGAGATCTGAGCTCTGGACCTGGATTTCCCTCAGGCTCATTGCAAGTCACTGAACTTCTTAAGCCTCAGTTTCCTTATCTGTAAAATGTGAGGGCTAGACCTGACCTGTGCATTTCAAAAATGGGATGGGAGAGGGGATTCAAGCCACTCATTCCCTAAATACTGAAATCACCTTGTCTCCCCTCACAACCTGGTGAGCCAGGGGTGTCTGGTACCCCTTAGCTGTGAAGGAATTTTCAAGAAGGGTCAAAGCACTAGGTTAGATAGCTCTAGTCTTTATGCCTGATAGTTCACAATTCTATCATGTCAGGCTCTATAATAAATAACTTAAGTAGTTATAAGAACACAGGCTTTGGAGGTGATACTGTTGCCCTACCTCTCTGAGGTTTACCTTAGTTTCCTCACAGGTAAAATGAGGTGGCAATACCCACCCCACAAGGCTGTTGATAAACCTAAACGTTAAAGTACTTAAAATTCTTAACACTGTGCCCAATACACAGTAAGGAGACATAAATGATAGCCTCTACTATTTGTATAGAGATCCACAATGCAAAATAGAAAGTGCTCAATGTCCGCGCCAGTGGCACAAGACTGCATAAAAGGAGCCACAAGAATTCTAACTTCTATCCCTTAGAAACACGAAAGCACTGAGGCTACTTGCAGAGAGGGGGTGAAAGGAGGGGGCTAAACGACTGTTCCAAATGAAAGCGAGAAAGCTTCGGAATTACCCCGATTTTACTCCAGTACCTATGACCTACTAGCTCAGGAAAAAACACCCCCTTTCCTCACGCCGTTCCGGCCGGCCCCATAAGGACTCCACCTTGAGCACAATGCTGAGGTCCCGTACTGGCTCCTCGTTGAGGTGCAGGCGCCCGGCTCTGACAGCGGCCTCGTAGTAGGCCAGGGGCTGGGCTCGGAACTCAGTGCTGAAGACGTGCAGCAAGCTGTGGCCCACCCAGCGGCCTTTGCAGTAGGTTCGGAAATCAAAGTAATAGGGTCGAACTTTGCGCAGGCCGCCCTCGAAGTAGTAGCTGGTCTCTGCAAAGTGCTCATCGCCGAAGCTCACCCCTGCCCTCCGCTTCTTCGGGGGCGGCACTATGCGCTCCCCCGCTGCACCCCGCCGCTTCTTCCGCTTGCCTGGGCCCGGAGCTGCAAGAAGGGCCGGCTCCTCGCTCCCCGCGGTCTGCTTCCCGACTTCCGGGGCCAACTTCACTCCCTGGGCCGCCGGCTCCGGGCGCTCTGGAGGTCGCTCGACCCTCGAGTCGCCATCCGCGTCTCCGTTTTGCTGAGCCAGAGCCCTCAGCCCGCTCGCTGCCTCCGCCCCGGTAGACAGCATTTCCGCCATCGGGGCTCTACGGCCACTCCAAGTCCTGGCAAAGCTGAGGAATAGGAGGTTAAATCGCTCCCGCACGAAAATCGGGAGCCACCCGCGGCAGCCCAGCCACATAACCACGCGGGCGCCACTCCTGGGTCGCGATCTGAATACGTCACTCAGCACCAGCCAATCAGTGAGGCCCTGGGCCGAGGCGGGGACAGCGAAAGGAGGGAGCGAGGGAGTTGACAGACTCGAGCAGGAAGTTCGACTGTGAAGACTCACCAAGAGCACTGATTTCATGTAGTTATACTCAAGTATAGAAAAACTCCTGAAAGGAACTTTATTTAAAACAAAACAGACATTAAATTTAAAACAAACAACACAAAACAAAACAGAGTGCTAAATTCTGAATATGCTAAGAATATTTAAGCACTGTGTTGTGTACTTTAAAAGAGTGAAACCCTTCCCAGCTTCCCTTGTTGGACGTTGGTGTAGCCCCACAGTCTGTGGTAGAGACACACAGCAGAGGAAGCAAGCGTTATGTCTGACAAGATAGTATTGGAGGCATCTGATTTGGGGGGCTAACAGTGGGGGCGGGGGGCTCTTATGTCCAGTTTCAGGGTCTACATTTAGTGCCAGCGCGGTGTTCCCTGAGCACTTCCTCAGTGAAGCTAGGACACTGTTCCTGGCCCCATAGCCCCCAAGCCTGGCCATCTCGAGGTTTTCTGAACTACTTACTATCTTTCAAACCTGTGCTGTGCAATAGAGTAGCCATTAGCTATTTAAATTAATTAAAATGACATAAAACTTAAGATTAGTTCTTCAATTGCACAAGTTGCATTTCAAGAGCTCAGTAGCCACATAAAGCCAGTGGCTACTATATTGGACAGCTCAGATACAGAATATTTTTATCACCACAGAAAGTTCTATTGGACAGAGCAGCTTTAATCAATTCCTTTTACTGTTTAAACTGGCTAGAATGAGTTCTATTATTTGAAGTAAGAACTCCAACTCACTTACTGTGATAAGGATTTAAGTAATTTAAGAGTAACGGGAGCCCAGCCGGCGTGGTTCAGCAGGTGATCATGGTCCTATGATCCAGGAGATTGTGGTTAGATTCCCAGTCAGGCAACATGCCCCAGTTGCGGGCTTCGCGTGCCTCTGCACGCTGATCAATGATGTTTCTCATCATTGATGTTTTTATCTCTTTCTCCCTCTCATAAATAGCCTCTTTCTGAAATCAATATGTGTATATATATATTTTAAAAAGAGTAATGGGAAATCATCAGAGTTTTTGGTGTGACATGATCTGATCTCCATTCCAAAAGGATCACCCTGGTTACAACATAAAGAAGGGAGTAAAGAGGGAATCACAACTTCTAGCTCCAGTTCATTGTGGTTCCTTACCATTAGGGTTCTAATTCAAACATTCACACACCAAACAAATTTTGAACATTTGCGAGGCATCACTTGGCTTTGGATGTACAGAGGTAAGAAAGACATGGTTCCTGATCTCAACAAAGGCATAGGCTGGTCGAGGACACAGATAAAAACATATTTGTGCCTACTGCACTGCTGTTAAGTTAGAGTCCAATATATTTTTGTTTTTTTAAAAAATAATTTTTTAATTTTTCAATAATAGTTGACATACAATATTGTATTAGTTTCAGGTGTAAGGCATAGTGATTAGACATTTATTTATATAACTTACAAAGTGATCACCTTAGTAAGTCTAGTACCCATCTGATACCATACATAGTTATTACTATTAATATTAATATTATTGACTATATCCTCCCCCCCCCATTCTATACTTTACAACTCTATGACTGGTTCTATAACTGGCAATTTGTACATCTATTAAATATTTATTTTTTTAGAGAGAGAAAAGAGGGGAGAGGGAGAGAGAGAGAAACATCAATGTGAGAGTGAAACATGGATTGGCTGCTTCCTGCAGGCTCCCTCTGGGGATCAAGCCCACAACCCAATCATGTGTCCTGCCCAGGAATTGAACCAGCAACCTTTCAGAGCATGGGACCAACCAACTGAACCATACTGGCCAGGGCACTTTGCACATCTTAATTGTTTTGGTTTTCACCCATTCCCCTATTCCCCCTTCCATCTGAAAATCATTGAGATGTTTTTTGTCTCTATGAGTTTGTTTTGTTTGCTTGTTTATTTTGATTTTTAGATTCCACATATAAGTAAAATCAATGGTATTTGCCTTTCTCTGACTTATTTCATATGGGTCCTACCCTCTAGGTCCATCCATGTTTTTGCAAATGGCAAGATTTAATCCTTTTTTTATGGCTGAATAATATTTTATTGTATTTATATACCACATCTTCTTTATCCATTCATCTATCGATAAGCACTTAGGTTGCTTCCATATGATGGCTATTGTAAATAATGCTGCACTGAACATAGGGATGCATATGTCTTTTCAAATTAGTGTTTTGTGTTTCTTTGAACAAATACCCAGAAGTGCAATTGCTGGGTCATACGGTTGCTCTATTTTTATTTTTTTGAGGAATCTCCATGTTGTTTTTCAATTTACAATCCCAGCAACAGTGCACGAGAATTTCCTTTTCTCTAAATCCTCAGCAACACTTATTTGATTTACTGATTATAGCCATTCTTAAAGATGTGAAGTGATATCTTGTGGTTTTAATATGCATTTTCCTGATGATTAGCAATGTTGTGCATCTTTTCATGTGTCTATTGGCCATCTGTATGCACTCTTTGGAGAAATGTCTATTCAGGTCCAAAGCAGAGTCCCAAATGGAGGGATGCTGACTGCCCTCATGTGGCTTCCCAGTGTGAGAATTCATTGGAGAGGAGGAAATCACCATGGTTTCGCTGTGCAAGTCCAAGATCTGGTTTGGGCTTATTCAGCACACACACTAATTACTCAGAGGACATGGGTGAATCACTAAGGGTGCCAGTTTGTCAATTTATCTATTACAACTGTAACTTTAAGTTATAGAATGTATTCCATTTGTGCCTACTATTAAAGGCATCCTTGTCAAGATATTTAAGAGGCCAAATTTGAAATCAAGAGCCTGTTTAGTGAGCAGGAAACCAGAGGAAAGGGCATAAGTGAGTTGAGAGGCCATGGAGTAGTTTGATGAAGCACCACCATATAAGCCTATGAGATTTCCCCTTTCTATGAATCAGATGCTGCCAGACTCACCATACATAGGGTGGTAGTTGGGGGACTCAGGATCCTTCGGTGGGAGGTTCCACTCCCCCCATTCATTCCCTGTGAATAAGCACTGTCAAAATCTTGCCTATTGTTTGCTCCTTTGTTTTGTAACCTCCTGGCTTTCCACTTCCTTTTGTTTGCATGTTCTAAGAACGGTTGATAACTGTGAGCAACAGAGTACCTTGTAGTTTCCTTTCACATGTTCGTAGTTATTAACACCATAGCCATGTTACTTGGCTTCGAACACATCTACAGGCTATATCATAAGCCAAGTTACTTCTACTGATGGTTGGCTGATGTCTTTCTGCACGTTTTTTTAGGAGACACCAGCCCTGGAAACGAGGGTTGTAGGGGTGAGGAAGAGTTACATCTCAGGGTACTGATAACCCCTAAAAGATATCAAAGTTCATCTCCTTTTAAAGTGTTTCTGACACACACCTCCCAAGACCACTCTCTCCTTTATGTACTCTGGCCCACTTCTGTCATATCCTTTATAACTATTTGCTGTTACCTGTAAAGTTGTCTGCCCCACGGCGCACCCTCTCACACTTGGCTGTGAGGAGCTCTTGGGCCCCTACCAAATCTGCCTTGAAATCCCGCTTAACACAATGCCCAGAATACAGCAGGAGTTTAGCGTCTGTAGACTAAATGAATGAGGGAAGGCTTCAGAGCTTGAATGGGACCTGGTTCTCCGGGAAGGGAAATCGTCTCTTCCTTCCCCATCGGAGCAGCAGAAGTGCAGTAACTTGGGTAGCGAAGGGCTGAAATTTCCGGAGACAAACCCCAGCCCAGAGAATTGCAAAGGAGGTGACCTGCTCGGGGAACCGAGCGAAGTCAAAGGCCTTGAAAACCGGGCTTCCTCTTCCGAGAAGGCGATGGGTGGCGGGCACCGTCCGCGCCCCCGGAACGCACGGAACACGTGGAACCAATGTAGCTCCAGGGAAAAGGTGGGGAGCGGGGCACCTGGCTCCACTGTTTTTCCGCAACAACAGGCCCGCCCACCGCTTCCTTGCGCTCAGCCCTCACTTCCTCATCCACTCGACCTATCGACGCGCAGAACGTCGCCAGGTCGGGCGGTGGTTGGAAGACTTTCAGGATCCGTCACTCAGAGGCTCCGCCCACCCATTTCTTCCCCGGCTGCCGGAGACCGAGCTGAGCTGAGGGTTTGCGGGCTGCTGGGCAAGCTGTTGCGGTAGGTGAGGAGGCGCGGGGGGACCCAGCATTTTGTACTCGCGGCTCCCGCCCCATCCTGGAATGCCGCAGGGAGGCCTCGGAGGTGGACTCATCCCGCCCAGCCAGTCGCTGAGGCCAGAGTGACTGAGGCCCGGCGTTTGGACATCAAAGTTCCCTGCGCCCTTCGGTTCTGAACTGCCTAGGAGGGAAGCGGGGCCGGGGCTCCGGTGTGAGCAAATTTTTGGCTAGGGTGCGTTTAAACGATTTGGGGATGGGGGTGGAGGTTCATTTTGGCCCCCGGCATCAGTTCATTCAGGGCTGCTGTGACATATCTGTCCCTTTTACTTCCGAACCCTTGCGCTGCTGGTTGGGCTCTCCTGGAATTATTCAAACCTTTCCGCCCGCAGCCTTCCTAATCTCAAAGGCCCGTCTTGTAAGACTAGATGGTTATGAAAGCCCTCAGGCGCTGTGCGTAGCCCTGACTACTTGGGCTACTTTCAGTATATTCCCAATCAGGCAGAATTACAGCCTTGGGTAAAAACATGGATTTTGGAGCCACACAGGTTTGGTTTCCAATCAAGGATTCACCATATATCAGTAATGTGCCATTGACAAGTTACTCTTCTGATCCTCAGATCCCACAGATTCTTCATGTACAAAATGATGAACATGTCTGTCTTTCAGTGTTTCTGACTATTAAAATAACACCAGGCATCCAGCCCAGCTTCTACACATAATGAGCACATGGGCCTTTGCGTATGACAGTGCTCCCTCAGAGACAGTTTTCACCAAGCAGCACTTTTATTATCCTTGTGTATATAAAAGTGTGCAAGACCTTTAGTCTGTGCCCTACTGAAAACAGAATTTAATTGGCTGAGGACAGAGTGGTTGAATTTGGGAGATTTGGGGAGAAAAGTGCAGGATGATTTTCTTCACTGGAAATGCCATAGAAATGTGCATGCATGTGTGTGTGTGTTTTAAAACATACAAACATAAAATTTACCATTTTAACCATTTTTAGATGTATAGTTCAGTGGCATTCACATTGTTATGCAACCATCACCACCATCCATCTGTAGAACGTCCCAAACTGAAACTCTGTACCCATTAAACAATAATTGCCATTCCCCCATCCCCCAAACCCCTGGCAACCACTGTCCAATTTTCTGTCTCTATGAATTTGACTGCACTAGGCACCTCATATAAGTGGAGTCATTCAGTATTTATCCTTGTGTGTGTGTTTTAATCCTCTCTTGAGGATATTTTTTCCATTGCTTTTCAGAGAGCATGGAAGGGGGGGAGGGAGAGAGAGAGAGAGAGAGAAAAATATCCATGTGAGAGAGACACTGATTGGTTGCCTCCTGCACCTAACCCAATCAAGGCTGGGGATCCAGCCTGCAACCAAGGTTAAGTGCCCTTGTCTGGAATTAAACTATGGGCCCTTCAGTCCTCGGGCCAATGCTCTAACCACTGAGCCACCAGAGCAGTATTTATCTTTTTGTATCTGGCTTGTAGAGATTCCTTTTCCCCCCCATTGCTTTTCAGAGAGTGGAAGGGAGAGAAACATTGATGTGAGAGAGACACATTGATTGGTTGCCTGCTGCAAACACCCCAACTGGGGCGGGGGATGAGCCTGCATTTGAGGTATGTGCCCTTGGCTGGAATCGAACCTGGGACCCTTCAGTCTGCAGGCCGACGTTCTAGCCACTGAGCCAAACTGGCTAGGGCTAGAAATTACTTTTTAAAGACAAACTTCATTATGAAAACAACTTGAGTGCAGAACCAGAAGAGGAACCCAATTACCTTTTTGTCGTCTTTTTATCTGTAACACAGAAACCTAATAGAAGACATTTTAAGGTTTGTTAAGAAAAATTTCTAAAAAGCCTATTAGCTTCAATGGGTAAACATATATCTGAGTACTACATACTTATATTGCATCTTAAAGCCAGTCCTTGCTCACTTGAGCTTCTCTTTTCTCAGCTCGAATTCCAAATGAAAATGTTTGAGAGCATTGACTCTACAGCCACAAAATCTGGCCCAGATCTTTGGGCTGAAATCTGTTCCTGTCTGCCAAATCCTGACCAAGAGGATGGTGCCAAAAATGCCTTCTCAGACTCCTTTATGGATTCTTACCCTGCAGGCACAGGCCGGAGGGAGGTCCCAGACTTTGCTACTCAGCCAGCTGTAAAGCCTTGGGCTCCCTTGCAGGATTCAGAAGTATATTTAGCATCTCTAGGTAAGTTAGATTTTTTTTTTTTTAATCATAAACTGATGGCTTTAAAGATGCTTGTTGAAGTTCTTTTATATCAAACCTGGTTTTCTGTTCTTTTTTGTTGTTGTTGTTAATCTTCACCTGAGAATATTTTTTTCATTCACTTTTAGGGAGAGTGGAAGGGAGGAAGGGATGAGAGAGAGAGAGAGATGCGAGAGAGACCAGGCTGGGGATCAAACCTGCAACCCTTCAGTTCATGAACCACTGAGCAACACCAGCCAGAGTGGTTTTCTGTTCTTAAAAAAATTTTTTTTGTCCTCACCACATATATCTGTATGTAAGTCTAGGGGATGTTTCAGGTTGGTTGTGGGAAGGACTCCCTTTTCCTTGTACATCTCTTAAAATGGTCTTTGTAATCTCTTGCCTCTGTTTTATCTAAAGTCTGCTTTATTTCTTGGCATTCTGTAGACCCTCTTGCCTACGATTGATGGCTCATATATTCAAGTAACTCAAAAGTAACAAACCTTATGTCATCCTAAAAGAAAAGGTCATGGCCTGGAACTACATGTGGATTTCCAATGCTATGAAAAACTGTTATCTTAAATAGATTGTTGGAATGGAAGCCTGTTGGCATAAAATTCACTCTGCCGCTTGTTAGCTATTTTATTTTTATTTTTTTAATATTTCTCTTATCACTTGTCCCAAGCATTTGCTTTTTTTTTTTTTTTTTTTTAAATATCTTTATTGATTTCAGAGAGAGGAAAGGAGAAGGAGAGATAGAAACATCAATGATGAGAGAGTCATTGATCGAGCCCGCAACCCGGGCATGTGCCCTGACCGGGAATTGAACCCTGATCGCCTGGATCCTAGGTCGACGCTCATCCGCTGAGCCACGCCCGGCTGGGCACTATTTTATTTTTTAAAATATTTCCTGAAAACATCTTCACTGTCCTGTTCTATGGCCTTAAGTATAAGTATTTAGAGAGACTCAAAACACAGGAAAGAGATTCAGGTTGTCCCATGCTAGGGGAAAGAGAAATATCAGTCTAGGGCAGTGATTGCCATGCTTTAAAATTGTGGTGTATTTTTATTATTAAACATTCATGAGATCCATCTATGTGTCACAAAACCAAACCTGGGGATAATTATTTGAGGAAGGGAAGACAATGCAGGAAGAAGAGTCAGAATAGAGTTTACATGATTGCTAAGAAATATCTTGGAAGAACCATAGGAATTTTGTCAGTGGGTTACTGGAGGAAAAGATATAAGAAAAACATAGGTGGAATGATGGCTAATGAGAAAGATGAGGGTGTAATGTGAGATATGTCAGGAAGCCACCAAAGACAGGACAGTAATATTTGCAGCCATGGCTGGGGAGGTTAGCAATTCTGTTTTGTGATAGTCAGAACATCTGTTTAATGATGATAAGGATAAGCAGTGGCTCTCTGAGAAAGCTGAAGCATCAGATCCATTGGCTTGTTGGTGCTCTGTGCCCAAGGGCTGTAAGAAACTTTCATGGGTCACAGACATGGCGGCTGTTAAGATAGGAAAGCTGACAACTGTGCCTGCAGGTCTGATGTTTGCATCTATAAGTGTGCATGCAGCCAAAGAAGAGGAATCCAAAAAGCAGCTAGTGAAACCAGAGCAGCTCCCCATATGTACTGCACCACCTCTCCAATCTAACATGTTGAAGAGCAGCCTGGTAATTTACAAATGGGCTTTGCCTCCATCCACACTACAGATGGTTCTTCTATTGGCTGGTGCAAGGGTAGTTATGTCTTTGTGGAAAACGGGATAATGGATACAGTACAGTTTGGAAAAGATGCATATTTTTATCTGAAGAATCCACCACAAGATTTTCTTCTGAAAATTGGAGCAGTTAGGTTCAGGATTGGCAGGCTTGGTTTCATCAAGAAAAGGTTCTAGATTTAAGAAAATTGGTTCTCCACTGGGACTGGCCACTTTAGTAGCAACTCTTTGTTCTCCAGTTCAGTCTGTAGTAATTGCAGAGGTAACTTGGAAAAAGGCATTATGCTACAAGCCAGCAAATTTATGAAGCAGTTAAGTGGTTGTGGAAAAAACAACAACAAAAAAGAATCACTTCCTGAACCTAAAGGAAAAACAGTTAGGAAGCTCTGCCGAAATAGAAAAACCTGCAAAAACAACTCATGACCTGAAACACTCAGTGGCTTTGCCAACAGAACTCAGCTCTGAAGTGAAGATCAAATCAGAATCCACCTCAGTACTACACAATTTATGCCTGACCCCAAGCTCATGGATCACAGGCAGTCTCATCCAGAAGATGTAGATATGTACTGCACTAGAAGCTGAAATAGCCTACGTAGAGAACTACAAGATATGTGAAGTTCCAAATAATGATGAAAAAAATCATGTAATGGGTAACTGACGTATAGAGTATAACTTAAGGCACGTTTATCCCTTACATCTTCTAATCCGTAGTTTGACCAATCACATAAGTGATTAAAACACACACAGTGAATATAATCTAAACGTATTAAATGACTGGTGAAGATGCAGAGGTAGTTGTATTAGGATACATTTGATGACTTTTTTTTTAAATCCTTACCTGAGGATATATATATATTTTTTCCATTGCTTTTCAGAGAGTGGAAGGGTGAGAGAGAGAGAGAGAGAAACATCGATGTGAGAGAGATACACCGATTGGTTGCCTCCCATACGCGCCCCGACTGAGGCCGGGATCAAGCCTGCAACCCAGGTACATGCCCTTGGCCGGAATTGAACCTTGGACCCTTCAGCCCGAGGACTGACATTCTAACCATTGAGTCAAACTGGCTAGGGCCATTTGATGACTTTTTTTTTTTTTTAAATACATCTTTATTGATTTCAGAGAGAGGAAAGGAGAGGGGGAGAGAGAGAGAAACATCAATGATGAGAGAGTCACTGATCGAGCCCGCAACCGGGTATGTGCCCTGACTGAGAATCGAACCCCCATCGCCTGGATCCTAGATCCACGCTCAACTGCTGAGCCATGCCCAGCCGGGCCATTTGATGACTTTCGAGGGTGTTTATAAAAAAAACAAAAAATAAATATGTGAACACTTATGAGACTAAAATCTAAAAAAATGTATGTATATATATAAATACTTATACACATATATTTTAGCTTTTTGTAATTAATGTCAGCTTAATTAGAGTGGTGTATGGAAGGATGTGTTCCCTGTCCCCCCCTTCCTTTTTTTATTTCCCAGAGCTGGAATAAAATATCCATATTTTATGACACACACACACAAAGAAAAGAAACTTTCATAGATTCGGTGATAGTTTTGATTGGTTCAGAAAGTTAAAACTCCCTTGATATTTTCTAAAATCATTTAAGAAGATGATTAAAATTTCCTTCTGTGAAGAAAATGAGAACCATTTCTGGCTCCTATGGCAGAGTCTGGGAGACAATAGCAGGCAGGTTTGGAGTATGTAATGGCACCTGTCTCTGCCTCCCTAACTTAGATCACACCTGATCGGGGACTCAGCACACTCAGAGAGGGGAAGAACTTTTCCAGTCCAAAAGAGTACCTTCCACCTTGACAGCCAAGGCCAGGCAATATATTGTTTTTGTCCTGGCCCATGTGGCTCAGTGGTTAGAGCATTGGCCCATGCCCAGAAAGGTCATGGGTTCCATTCCCAGTCAAGGGCACATACCTGGGTTGCAAGTTCAATCCCCAGCCACAGCAGGAGGCAACCAATCGACCACATTGATGTTTCTCCCTCCCTCCCTCCTTCCCTCCCTCTCTAAAAATCCATGGAAAAATATCCTCAGATGAGAATTAACAACAACAAAACGATTGTTTTTATTGCCAAATAAACTATATCAAAGAGAATTCACTAACATCAACAATTAAAAACTTAGCTAGTTCAACATGAGATATACATAATCCTTTTCATATTCTCAAGGAAAAAAAATTCCTCAAATATTTAACATTTATCAGCCGCAGGTATTTTACATGGGTGAGCTCTTGCTGGTAATTTGCATCAACAAAAGGTATGTATTTTGATCAGTGGGTGCTAGCTGATGTGGCTTGTTTAAAAATGAAAACAGGATTGCAAATCATAAAGTTTCTAGTGGTTCTGGGCTTGATGGTTACCATCCCCCAAAGCCATCATTTACCCATTTTATTATAGATGAAGGCAAGACTAAACTAAGGCAGAAGGTACATGGTGATACCCTTTCTTGTGTTTTTCAAAAGGGGATGCCTGTTCAACAGTTATACTTAAAATGCAAATAACAGTAATTAAATATCTATCATCAGGAAGCCATATGGACCACTCCCAAAGGGATTACAAGATGTTTGTTTTTATTAGACTTCAACATCCAGGCCACAAGTTGAGCAGCTTTAAAAAATGTTGGGAGATTCCTTCTCTTTAATCAAGAATTTAATCACACATAGAAATCTTAAAAGTCTCTTATTATTGAGTTCTTATCAAGTCAATTTTAGTGTCTAATGAACCATTGGCTCTCTCATCATTTTCTCTAATTCTTTCTCATGAGGTTTGGCAACCACTTCATGTCACTGTAACAAAAAGAAAAACCATTTACTCCTCAGAGAGATTATTTCCAAGGAGTTGAAAAAAGATGATAGTATATACATGTCAAGCCAGGGAAAACAAGCATTCCTTAGAGAGATACCTGCTGGGCTTCTGTGATTTCAAAGAAAACATGCCATAAATTTATTTATGAGAACTTATGGCTTTTCCCTTTTTCTGGTGTTTATTTGCTACAATGTAGAGTGAAAACATTGTTCAGGAAAAAGAAAAATGTACATTTCCCTTTATCTGTCCTCCTTAAAAAATTAGCTCTTTGTAGAGTATGTGGATGTACTTATCAGCAAGAGAATTTTTTAAGTTAGCATTTGCATTTTAAATTTAGTTTCATTTCATACTCACTTTCCTTGTTAAGCTCCATTTCTTATCTCATTAGAGAATAAACTGAGAAGAATCAAAGGTTTAAATCAGGAAGTGACTTCTAAGGACATGCTTCGAACCTTGGCCCAAGCCAAGAAGGAGTGCTGGGATCGGTTCCTCCAGGAAAAGTTAGCATCAGAATTCTTCGTGGATGGACTTGATTCTGATGAAAGGTAATTGATTCCCAGTCCAGTTCTAGGTGACAGTCTGTTTTCCTGTGGGCATTTCTTTTTTTCTAAAGAATCCAAGGAGAGTGACATGAGTCGAGATATTAGTTAATATTAACATCAGCTTTTCTGAGCTAAAATCAATCTTTGTCAATTTGCTCTATTTGCTTAGTGCAGCAGCAGATTTTTGAGAAAGGGTATCCAGCTACCTCTTGATCACAGATTGGATATAGTTGAGGATAAACTATTGTCTTCACTTTTTCCCCCCCCCATTTTTTTTTTAATTCTCACCCGAGGATATGTTTTTATTGATTATCAGAGAGATAGAGAAACACTCGATCGGTTGCCTCCCATATGCGTCCTAGCCGGGGATTGAACCCACAACCTTTTTGGTGTACAGGATGACGCGCTGACCAACTGAGCCTCCCAGGCCAGGGCCATTGTCTTCATTTTTTTTTAATTTTTAATTTTTATTCTTTCCATTGTTTTTTCAGATAGAATGGAAGGGGGAGAGAGAGAGGGAAAAAACAACAACACATCCATGTGAGAGGGACACATCTACTGGTTGCCTCCTGCACACGCCCTGACCAGGGTGGGGATCTAGCCTGCAATCAAGGTACATACCGTTGGCCGGAATCAAACCCGAAACCCTTCAGTCCACAGGCTAACACTAACCACTGAACCAGCCAGGGCTAAAGAAGTTTATTTTAACACCCTCTTTTTTTGTCCTTGGAACTAATGGGGAGAGACGACAAATCTATAGAGACATACCTAACAACATGAGGAAGCATAAGAGGAGAGTCAGATGAGAAGAAGTGATGGAACATGCTTTGGGAGTTGAGAGACCATTGAGCTCCCTATGGGCTCTGGTGTTTGTGCCAGGGAAGGAGGTAGGACTTGAACAGTACCTGCAGGTGGGCCCGATGCTGAAAGGAGAGGGGCCATTCTGCCACAAAGCAGGGTAGTACTCGACACTGGGAAAACGGCTCTGCCTCTTACAGGTTGTATGTAAGTAAGCTGGTTCTTGGGTAAGTAAACTGTGTGTGCCTCAGTTTCCTCTTCTGTAAAGTGGAGGAAACCTTATAAGGTTATTATGAGGGTTTAATGAGTTACTATGTATAAAGTACTTAGAACAGTGCCTGGTACATGATAAGTACTATGTAAGTGTTAGCTATTATTAATATTATTCTTCCTAACAGAATTTTAAACTTCAGTAACAAATCATTCAAAATAAAGATCAGTGAGGGGAGTAAAAACCTGAATTTTAACAAAAGGTCTTCGGGGAATATGACTTAACCTAAATTTACAACATATCATTAGCATTGATTTTGAGAGTCCCATGGTGTCAGATGAAGATACTGCTGCTGAAATTGTGAACAATGTGCGAATAAAACTTCATACATCTTACTTTTAATTTGCAAAGTACTTTCACTTATGTTATCTTAAATACTGAATCAACATTCCCTTAGGTCCTTCAGAAATCAGTGTGGCATCTACGGTCAGGCCAGCTACACTCTCAGGGTTCAGAAAATAATACCAATTTTGTTCTTTTCTATATCAAAGGCTCAACCCAGTTGAGCTTTAAACTGCCCCAAACACAAAAGACTTGAAGATACACAGATTCTTGACTCACTAATAATTTTGTGTTCTCTCCCCCCTTGAATACTTCCCTCTTTTCCAGTTCTAAGAAGAAAAGATAAAACCTTCTGCTGCCTAATTCTCAACTAGTAATTCTTTTTCTCTGAAATCAGATCAGCACCAAGGCTTGTTAACATTTCTGTGTATTTATCAATACCTAAAATAATGTGGTTTTTTCTTCTCTCTAGAAATAATTGAAATAATTCTGTGAAAAGTGTGATAGATGAAGATTAAATGCCTGTGTAGCTTCTGAGTCCCCTGAGCTGGGCTGTTGTTCCCCTGAGCCTGCATCTGTGGGAACACGTCTCTCATTGTTTAGAGCAAGCACCAGCAAACAGTAGATGTGCATTTGTTTTTAAATTTCAAAGTTTAAGTTTTAAACAGAGGCTATTTTGTAGGGGAATTGTGTGATTCTTCACCTTTGTGAAGGCCAAGTTGACGACCCTCTTCATAGTCTGCTTTTGGCAAGGGAATAATGGCTGAAAAATCCAACTGTGCACAACACGAATCCCACATACACTGACAGGTGTCTTAAATCTGCTGGTTACCGCTTTATTTCTTGGCTTAGGACTTTGTGCTATTGAAGAGCATAGAGTGAGGTTAACATTATTCCTGGTCATTTATATTTTACTGTGACTGTCTAATGGCTTTAGAGTGAGGATCCTGTGTACTTAAGGTGGGAGGGGAACAGTTCTCCCTTCCCCACAGATCCAAACAAAAAGGCCTTTTGACATAGTGGCCATTCCTTTGTGGGGGACATTGCTGCTCAGATGTTTCCATCTTAGGGACTTGCTATAGGATGAACTAAACAAACAAAAAGCCCACAAACAAACAAACAAACTTGTGCTCAGTGCAGCTAAGCATAATTGAGTCTCAGACTGCCTCAAGTACGAGATTTCAATATGTGCAGGTTTCTGCCTCACTAATAATTTGGTATTTATTTGAATGTTTCCTCCCTTTGACAATTTCCTCTCCAGTTTTGAGGGGGGAAAAGACAGGGCTGAGGCATAAGCTCTTCAGCTTTTCTCATCAAGACTTCAGAGGCTCTGTATTTGAAGAGGGCCTGATGCTGCTTATCGCCAAAGTGCCCACCAGGGGGTAAATTATGCCTGGGAGCTGCAGGATGCACAGTTGTCAGAGGAGTAACAATTGTAGGAAGAAATTGGTTGTGGGTGGGAAGTCAGTATTTGAGTAACTGAGATAATCATTAAGTAATTAGTGATGCAGTCACTCTTTTCTCTTGGTCTTTCCTAGCACCTTGGAGCATTTCAAGAGGTGGCTCCAGCCAGATAAAGTAGCCATCAGTACAGAGGAGGTCCAGTATCTAATTCCTCCAGAGTCACAGGTGGAAAAGCCAGTGGCTGGGGACGAGCCACCAGCAACGGAACAATAAATCTCTCTCTCTCTCTCTCTCTCACACACACATGCACAAAACTTGCGTGGAACAGCTGTCTTGAGTCCAGAGGGAACAGTGGAGAGCTCAGCAGCCTCAGCAAGGAGAAAACTCAGGAGGGAAAAAGCTCAACCTTTCACTCCATGAAGCAAACAGCTGTAGGCCCCTGAGGACTTGCTTGGGGCTGGCATGTGTGACTGTCTTGGATGAAGTGCATGGTGGATCAAAACACCGCTTTCCTGCATGTCTCACAGCTTGCTTGAGTTCTGGTGCTGCAGCTGAGATGTATGCTGAGACTCCAGTGAAGGATCCAGGTGTAAATGTATGTGGAAAAGCTGATGCCCTTATATATAATGTATAAGTTAAGTGAGCCATATTTTTCCTTGCCTCTTCTGGATTTTCCTGCCTGTGTCCCAAGCATTCCCTTGGTAACTTGTCATGGGTGAGTGGGGCTAAGCAAAGTGAAGTCTGCCTCCTTAAATCCAAGCCCCATTTGGGGGGGCTTCTCTAAGTCCATAATAAATATGAGGACTTTAAGGAAAAGAGCCTGGGTTTTTCCCTTGTCTGATTTGTTCCTTGTGGGGAAAATGGATAAAAGAAGTATGAAAAGGTGGGTGTTTCTGTGTGTGTGTATTTTTTTTTTTTAATTTCATGAGTGGTTTTCCCCATAACTTCCTCCTGCATTTATAAAGGGCTAAGTTCCAAATTAGACTTGTAAGTATGGTTTCGGCATTTGACACCACTGCTTGAATAGTTCCCTACTTGCTACTTGTAGCAGCTTTTTTGGCTGAGCCTGTGCTTCCCTCCTTGTTTATGGTATTCTTGTTCAGTTTGCATTATCCATATAAAACTTTTCTCATCAGAACAGCTGTATGTGTGGTACAAGTCACCTGATTTCTCCCAGAGATATTCTCCCAGGCAGTGGGGCAGTAAAAACAAATGCATGCCAATGCAGGTGAGCTGGTAACTTTTGCCAGCTTATTTTTATTTTTTGTTAATCCTCAACTGAGGATATTTTCTCCATTGATTTTTTTTTTGAGAGAGTGGGAGGGCGAGAGAGACACACATCGATTGGTTGCCTCCCACACACACCCTGACCAGGGTTAGGGAGCAAACCTGCAACCCAGGTACATGCGTACCCTTGACCAAGGATAGAACCCTAGACCCTCCAGTGTGTGGGCCAACATTCTAACCACTGAGCAACACAGGCCAGGGCTATTGTTCCTATTTTTTATCTTTTTTTCTTCTTAAGACCCTTTAGCCTGGCCAGGCGTGGCTTTGCGGTTGAGTGTCGACCTAGGAGCCAGGCTATCTGGATTCGGTCAGGGCACATGCCCGGGTTGCGGGCTCGACCAGTGACTCTCATCATTGATGTTTCTATCTCTCTCTCTCTCCTTTCCTCTCTCTGAAATCAATAAAGATATATTTTAAAAGAAAAAAAGAAGACCCTTCCACATTTCATAAAATACAGGTTTGATGGTGATGAATTCCTTTAGCTTTTTCTTGTCTGGGAAGCTCTTTATCTATCCTTTGATTCTAAATGATAGCTTTGCTAGGTAGCATAATCTTGGTTGTAGGTCTTTGCTTTTTATCACTTTGAATATTTCTTCCCAATCTCATCTGGCCTGAAAAGTTTCTGTTGAGAAATCAGTTGACTGTCTTATGGGAGCTCCCTTATAGATAACTAACTGCTTTTCTGATTTTCTCTTTGTCTTTAACCTTTGATGTTTTAATTTTGACGTGTCTTGGTGTGGGCCTCTTTGGATTCATCTTGTCTAGAACTCTCTGTGCTTCTTCAACTTGTATGTCTATTTCCTTCACCAAGTTAGGAAGTTTTCTGTCATTATTTTTTCAAATAGTTTTCAATTTCTTGCTCTCTCTCTCCTCCTTGCACCCCCATGATGTGAATGTTGAAGTTTGTCCCAGAGGCTCGTTACAGTATCCTCATTTTTTTTGGATTCTTTTTTCTTTTTGCTGTTCTGATTGGGTCTTTTTTGCTTCCTTATATTCCAAATTGCTGATTTGATTCCCAGCTTCACCTACTGTGCTATTGATTCCCTGTACATTATTCGTCATTTCAGTTGGTCGTTTTTTATGTTGTTGAGGTTCCCACTAAGTCATTGAGCATCCTTATAACCAATGTTTTGTACTTTGCATCTAGTAGATTACTTGTCTCCATTTTGTTTATTTTAATTTTTTTTTTCTGGCATTTTGTTCTGTTCTTTGGGACATGTTTGTCTCCTCATTTTGGCAGCCTCCCTGTGTTTGTTTCTCTGTATTAGGTAGAGCTGCTACATCTCCCAGGCTTGGTAGAGTGGCCTAATGTAGTAGGTGTTTTGTAGGATAGTGTGGCACAGCCTCCTCAATCACCCAAGCTGTGCACTCGAGGTGTACCCTGTGTAGACTGTGTACACCCTCCTCTTGTAGTTGAGCCTTGATTGCTGTTGCTACATGGGAGGGATTTACCCCCAGGCCCATCATCTGTAAGGACTGGCTGTGACCACTAACCACCGGCCTCCAACCACCGTGGAGGATCAGCTCTGCAGGGGCTCCCCCTATAGAGAAAAACTTACTTCAGCAGGGCTCTCTGGTGCCCACAGAGTCTGCCCCTTGAGTGTGTCGCTTGTGGAGGTGGTTGGGTGGTGCTTCGACGTGGTCTGAAACTGTCCACTGGGTGCTAACTCTGGGGCCTCCTGGGAGGTGCAGGCCAAGGTCAGCAGCCATCTGTGTTCCGCCCAGGGCCACCTGGCATGAGCAACAAAGCAATCTGCAGATGGCTGCTACTTGTTCTGAGCTTGGTAGTGCCAAGGCAAGGCCAAGCTGTGAACCAAGGCTGGCTGCTGCTAGTGCCTAACCACTTAGAGAGAGGTACTAGGCACACTAAGGTCAGATGCTGCTTGTTTGAGATATTTTAGGAAAATCTGAAGCATGAGCCAAGACAGATTATTTGTATGGAAAAGCCACTGGGAACCACTTAGGTGGGCCTGAAAGTTGGGTGGGGCGGGGCCTCAGGGAATCACCAGGATGGGCCAAACAGTGGGAGCCATGTTGATGGAGTCTCAAATATGGCCCACCTGCTTTGTGGTGGGGCTCATAAAAGGAACAATGGCCTTTGCCAGCACTTCTGTCTGTGAGAAAGCTGCTCCCAGCTCTCCCTTGATGCCAGACAATTCAGTTCCTCCCCATATGTCTCTGGTGCCCTTTGAACCACTGCCCCAGCATTGGAGCTCAGAGCTAGTGAGCCCAAGTAAGTCCATGTGTGGGCCCTTTAAGAGGAATTGCCTGGGACTCCAGCAGCCCTCCATCTCCCTCGGCCTCAGTCCCACTGGTTTTTACAGCCAGAAGTTATGGGAACTTCTTTTCCCGGCCCTGAACCCTAGGCTGGGGGCCTGGTGTAGAGCTGGGGCTCCTTGCTCCTCAGGGGCGACCTTGGCAGCCAAAATATCCCTCCCAATTTTTATATGTCACAAGTGGTCGTGGGACCAGCCCGTTCCCCGTCTCCGCTCCTCCTACAGTCCCAGTGCAGCTTCTTCTTTAATTCCCTAGTTGTAGGACTTCTGTTCAGCCAGATTTCAGGTGGTTCTAAATGATGGTTGTTCTGTAGTTTAGCTGTGGTTTGATGTGGTTGTGGGAGGAGATGAGTAGCACATTTCCTTACACCACCATCTTGACTAGAAGTCCAAAAGACTAAGATTTTTTTCTCCCAGTATGATGAGCAACAATTTAAGGAAAAAACCAATAAGGTCTCAAAGCACTCTCCCAAAGAGTAGATGACCATAAGGGGGTTAGGGAATATTTCTGTACCAGAAAGTAGTGTTTCTGTAATTCACGCAAGATTCTAGCTTTGCCTTTTCTCTACCTCCCTCCCATTTTCTCTTTAAGAAATAGAAATTTTAGTATGAGAAGGTAGGGAGTTAATTTAGAGGAACCAAAAAGGGAACTGTAGGACTGAAAGGCTTTTAGCCCCACATGAAAACCTGGATTAGGTATGAGGAGAAGGTCCCAGATCTGTTTACCTTCTTGCTTAACTCTTCAATAAAGATAGGTTTCCACAGAAAGGAGTCCAATAAGCTGTAACTATGGTTTCTTAATTGGTTTAGAGGTGACAATTTAAGTGATGGCTCTAAAAAAAAGGTGAAACTATTTACCAAAAACAAATTTGATGTTAGTTCCCAAAGCTAACTTATTAATATAGATTTACTTTAGGCTATTTAAGTGGCACTAAATTTGAAACCAAGAGTCTTGGGTGCTATCTTTATCTGTCTTGTGGCTCACTGTGTGGTCATAAATAAGTCAAATGACCTCTTTGTGTTCCAGTTCCCTTTCAGAAATTGGACCAACCGTAGGAAAAATAGTATTGGCCAAAAATACTGATCTATTTCCTTTGACCCTGGAAACTCCCAAGGAACTCTAGTTAGGACTTCCTCAAATCAGTAAAATTTATGAGTTGAGAGAGCCTTTTGTATCACCCCAAACTTTTTTCCTTTCTCATGTCCTTAGTGAAACAAAGTTAGAGCAAAAAGAGCAATAAATATTGCTAAACTTTAGAGCCAGGGAAGGACAATTACCAACAAGGGCAAAGCGGTAATAACTTGGTATATCCAGAGAAGGCTGGGTTAGAGCCAGGGAGATAAGCTAAGTGACCGCCACAGTTCTCTTCCGGTGCACGCACTCATCACCCAGGGCTTGGCAAGATCAGGGCTGAAGGCACAGGCTTGCATCCAGTACCTGCTCCAGAAATAGGCTCTAGATATAGGCACAGCAAGTAAACAGATACCCTACCAGTTGTTGCGGAGGTGTGTCCCTCCCAGGCAGGCCTGTCCACAAGGACTATTGCTGGAAGAGGGAAGACAGCCTGGAGCCACTCCCTGGCACTGCCTTGGAGTGAGTCCCCAAGGCTGAGAATAGCCTCAGTCACATGGGACAGTATTTTCCTGAAAATTCCAAACTATTCTAACCGGCTTTGGCCCTCCTTCAGTTATAAGATTCAAGACAGGACACTTCCATAGCAATCTTAGGTTTGTGGGGCGGCTGTTTACTTGAACTCAGAATGGGGTTATTGAAGGTACAGATTCATACATCTAACCAGTATTCGTTGAGCCCCCGCCAGGCTTAGGCACTGTCATGGGAGTGGAAATGGGAGCGGAGCCCCAGCCTTGGCCTTAAAGCCCAAGGTGGCAGCTGCATTGGTGCCGGAGTCTTGGAGAGCGCTGAAGAATCTGCTGGAATTGGAACTTGAACTTCTCTGTCTCTGTCCTCCCTTGTGTTCCCTTGTTACATGCCCGGCTCGGAGCCCCCCAGCAGAGCTGCTAGGAAGAAAGTGTTGCCGAAGGTTATCATCCTGGGAGATTCTGGAGTTGGTAAGACATCACTTGTGAACCAGTATGTGAACAAGAAATTCAGTAATCAGTATAAGGCCACAATAGGAGCAGACTTTCTGACAAGAAGGTGATGGTGGATGACAGACTAGTTACAGTGCAGATCTGGGACACAGCAGGACTGGAACGATTCCAGTCTCTCGGTGTGGCCTTCTACAGAGGTGCAG